CCCGCGGGGTGCCCCCCGCCCGGGCGGGGTTCCCACAGTGTGGCTGGAGTTCAGACGAGCCCCCCCCCCCCCAGCGCGCCCCAAGCCTGTGCCGCGCGCGAACCGCTCCCCTGCATTCCTCCCCTGCGCCCCCCTCCTCGCCGCCAGCTCCTTTCATTTGCCCGGCTCCACCAGCCGCATCTGGACAAAAGCATCTCTGCCCCAAGGGGCTCGCAGTTCAGGGGCAAGGCTTCTGCTGCGCTTGGACAGATTCCCAGGAAGGCTTATGCCTGGCACCTCTCTGCTTTGAGAAATAAGCGGCTTTTTATTCGGAAGCAAATGCCCCTCAGCTGCTGAGGAGGACTCCATCCATCGCTGGAGCTTCGTCCTTTGCACGAGAGCCGTGAAGCGTGAGCCCCGCATGGAGCGACATGCATCCCACGCCTCAGTTGTCTCTTGGCCCCCCAGGAGCGTGCTCTGGCCTAACGGGAACCCGCTACCCTAGGTACGCACGTGCACGCTCCCGTTTCCTTGGGCACACACGCAAATCCATCAGCACCCTCATTTTCATTTCCATTATGCCACACAGCTGAAGCTGACCAGGCGGTATGGAAATAGAAATGACCTGTTTCCTTATTCCCATTAGCAGCTGGCAAACCTGGTTCGCGGTACACGCACGAGCAGCGTGGGGGACAAAAGCAGTACTATGCCAGAAAAAACAGGTTGTGGGTCACAGAAGGTGCTCCTCCGCCAAACATGGCCGCACAAGCGACCTAAAGCTACATTTCCTCTGCGTATTATCTGCAACAGGTCTATTTTGGAAATACATTCGCACAACCAGCTGCCCACCCACTGCAAGTCTTGCTGAACTTGGGCTCCCAACTCCAGTCAGAGAAGGGAGAGAGTTCTGATTTTTGTTTGGGGTGGGGAAGGGACAAGCACTAGCTAGGAAACGTCTGGATCCAGCCGCACACAAACTTTATTTTTTCCAACAGACGCAGCTGCAGCATTAAAAAAAATCTCCTTTCCCTCTTCCCAGAGCAGAAGAGCAAGACTCTTGCAAATCAGTGGGAGATGCCTTGTTTTGTTTTTAAAGCTGGTGAGGGCAGGCGGGGGGGGGGGACTGATATTCCTACAAGCCCACCTAACTTCGGTTGGGAAGTGGGGAGGAGCGAGATGGGGGTGGGAACAAGAAACCCACGGTAAGATCTGGAGTGAGGACCGTGCAGGGCAGATCTTGCAAAGCGAGCGAGAGAAATCTTGCCTTGCGTCTGTGTGCATGGACGTACAGAGAACCCACCGAAGGATTATTCGTTAGCATTAATCATTGCTAATTTTGCAGCCACTGCCTGCATCATGCAGTCAAGCTGTCTGCTTTACACTCCTCCTCTCCATCCTCAAAGGATAGGCACCTTGACCCTACTGCATGCAGAAGTTAATGTTTTGCTTTAAAAAGTAAATGTTTAAAAGGATTCAGAAGCAATGGTCGTGTGAATACATTTCTCCCGATCCTACCCCACAGCAAGACCCCAGAGGGCCAGTCCGAGCTGCCCCCTGGGCAGTGCTGCAAATGGGCAGGCCACAGCAGAAGCAGGGGAGAGGAGCAGTGGGGGAGCACCCGTCAGCCCCCTGTTATAGGGCCGCATGTCGTAATAATCCCCTCAAAACCGCTTCCGGGCTGCACCCATCCGTGTCCGAGCTCACCAAGAATCAGGAAATTGGGCAGAAGTTACTGGGCCCTACACGCGAAAGGACGATGCTACTGCGGATGGAAGAGGGGGAAAGTCTGTTTCGGGGTGAAACCTGCCCCCCCCCCAGCCCAGTGCCACCCGTGGCTCTTCCAAGCGATCCCATCTTCCCGAGTGCCTCCTGCAGCCTGGGTCTGCATCTACCCAGAAGCAAGCCTCAGTGCGGGGGGGCGGGCTGCTGGTGGGGCTTGTCAGAGTCCCCCCTCCTTTTCGGGTGCAGTTCCGAAATCCCATCTCCCCCCCCACCCGTGCAGTAATTCAGCCTATCCATCAACACGGGTTGCACGACCCCACGGGGCTGGGCACGGGCACGCGCCCCCACCCCACCCCCGCCGCGCGCGCGCGCGTTCGCCCGTGCCCTTGCTCACGAACCTTCGTGGTGGAAGCTCCTCACGGTGTTGGCGCGGCTGGTGGATTTCTCCGGGTACTGGAGGCCGCGGTCGTGCAGCGCTTCCTCCTCCTCCCCGGACTGCAGGCGATAGAGGTCCAGCATGTACGAGGGGATGACGGCGGCCGGGCCGGGCTGCGGCCGGCGGCGGAGGCCGAACATCTGGAGCAGGGTGGCCTCGAACCCGCGCAAGAGTTCATGGCTGGGGAAGGGGCGCCGCGGGGCCGCCGGGCCGCCGTCCCTGCCCCTGCTCTCCTGCCCGCGCTGCTGCTGCTGCTGCGGGTCCCCGGGCACCTTCTTCTTCCCAGGCTCGGTGGGTATCAGGCTGGCACGGTTGGCACCGCCGAGCAGCACTTGGCACAACAGAATGACCATCAGCATTCGGCTACCAGGCGTCATGGTGACTCTGGGGGGTTGGAATTGGAGGGGGCAGGAGGAAGGGAAGGGTGGAGGGGGCAGGAGAAGCAAGCAAGCAAACAAACAAGATTGGTCAGGGACGGCACCCGCACGCTTTTCTGCCTCGCTTGTTCCTTGGAAAGGGCGAAAACACGCGCGCACCCCAGCTGGGGGGGGGAGAAGCGGCCATGATGCAGGGCGCTCGTGGATTCACACCCGTGAAAGCGGGAGGGGGGCTCTGGCAGTAAAGGCCCCTTCCTTCCTTCCCCCCTTCTCTTTGGATGCCTCTGCTTATCTGCCCAAGGATCTTCGTTAAAAGAAAGTAAACTTAAGTTAAACGCGCCATCATGAGAACCGCTCCTAGCACGCGCGTCTAGCTGCAACATGGAAATCCATCCTTGGCGTCTCTTTCGTCCGCTTCGTACACGCGACCCATCCATCCTCCGAAGCGGCCCTCTCTGCTTTCGAGGGCGAGGCGCTGCGTGTCTGAATCGGCACGGGGGGTCGGGGCTGCGGCGCTGAAGCCTGGTTTCTGGCGAGCCCACTCTGCGCGGAAAGGCCCTCCAAAGTCACCCGGCGAGGCTTGGTCGGCAGCGCGCCCTCCCGGCTCGGGCTCGCTGCTCCTGGGTCCCGGGGAAGGGACCCAGTCGGTCCGCGGGGCTTGAGCGCGGCTGCTCCGGCGCCCCTCCGGAGAAACTGCTTCGTGGATCGCGGCGGCGGCGGGGACCGTGGGGGCTGGGGCGGCCCCCGCCCGCGCCTTCCAGCGACTCTCGCCAACATCTCCCGCACAAGAAGCGATGCACTGTTCAAGGGGCGGGTGGCGCGAGGGGTCGCGGGGGAAAGGACAAGCAGCGCAGCCCCATCCCGCAGATGCTTGCTCGGCAGCCAGTCCCTCTTTGTTACCCGGGGCTTACTCTCGAGTAAGCGCACGGGGGGCCTGCCCGCCAAGGACTTGCGCACGGCGAAGAACTTCGCGACAAAGTTGGTCGTGCACCATAACAAAAGACCTTCTCTCGCACACACGCACCCGCGCGCGCACACACAATCCCGCGCACACACAATCCCGCGCGCACGCACGCACGCGCGCACGCTCCGGATCCCCCGCGCAGCGCGATGTTCGCGGCGCGGCGAGTCGCGAGGAAGAAGGAAGCTCTACTCACTGACAGAAAGCAAGGCAGGTAGAAACAGCCCATGGTTCTTGACAGCCAGTGTGGAGCAGCCCCGTGGAAAAGCTCGCGCGGGGATCCGGGCTCGGGCCGGAGGAGAGGCGCTCGCTGCTCCCGCGCGGCCGGCTGCTCGGGCGGCTGGCGGGCTGGCGGGCGGGCGGGCGGGCTGGCCGGCTGGCGGGCTGGTGGCTGCGCGATCGCCCGGTCCTCGCGCCGCGAAGTGGCTCCTGGAAAATGAATATATTTGAATATAATAAAACTCCCGAGCTGGCCGCCCGCTGCTTTTCTTCCAGCTCCGCGGTGAGTCACGTGGATGCGAGAAGTCACTCCTCGCGGCGCCCTGTCAATCAGCGCCCGCGCCCCGCCCCCCGCCCCCCCCGCCCCGGGATTCGCGAGGGGATGTCCCACCCCTCGGCCGCCGTCAATCTGCCCGGCGCCCGCCCGCCCGCGCCTCCGAGGGACGCCGCTGCGGGCAGCCCGGCCGGGGCGCGCGCCCCTCCGGCCCCCCGAGGGCGCCTCCCGCGGCCCGGCCCGAGCCTGCCTTGCAGCAGCCCCACGGACCCGCCCCGGGGCCGCGGGAACCGCCGGCCCCCGGAGACGGGCCGCTGTCCGCTAGCCGCGAAGCCAAGGCAGGGTCCCCGCGGGCATCCCTCGGCGTCGTGCGAACCGGGGGCCAAGGAGGCGGGGGTCACGCCCGCCCTGTGAGTGCCGACCTGCCGGCCTCCCGATAGGTCGGGCTGCAAGTGCCGTTCTCTGTGGGGAAGGTGGGAGCTGCAGTCGGGCTCCTTTGCGGGGGGCCGGGGGCGCGGAGCTGGCCGGAATTCGGCGGGGCCCTGAGGACCCCACACGGCCCGGCTCCCCAAGCCTGGCTGGACTGGCATCTGCTCAGAGGAGAGCAGACCCTGTCAGTGCTTCCCCACACGCAGCCGCTTATGGGTCCCTGGAGCCAGGCCAGGGGACTCGCTGCCGTGTCTGCCGGCCCCCCTGAATCCGCCCCCTCGCACAGGGCCCCATAACGCACCCCGCGGTTGGGCCCCCTTGGACAGGGAGAAGGCACGCTCAGCTCCCGCCTGGCGTCCAGCAAGGAGATTCTTGGAGGCAGAATCCAACCTGCTTTGCACACAGCCAGCCTGGCAGACGTGCTTCTTGGGGACCCCACGTCCGCTCCCAGGCCCCACCTGGGACGTGGCGGGCCACGCGTGGCTTCGGGCCACTTAGGCTCTGAAGGCTACCGGCCTGCAGGTGAAACGCCCCTTTTCCCACCACGCTTTGCTTCCAGTTTCAGCTGCAGAGGCCTTCTGGGAGAGCTGCCAGCGTCACGTGTGGTGGGGGATGCGTGGGAGGGCCCCCTGCTCCCCGTTGCTGACGTCACAAGCACAGGCCAGTGGGCCCTTTCATCACCCTCTTCCAAAGAGATCCGGACTGTGCTAGGGTAAGAACCAAATTTTCCTGCTGCAACAGCAGAGGGTGAGAAATACTGTGGGAACCCCTGACCACGCTCGAAAGAGAGTGATTCTAGTGCCGCCTGCACGTGTGTGACGATGAGCCTCACAACACCCTTGTGAGGCGAGCCGGCATTATCATCAACCCCAGGCTGGAGGTGCTGAGCCGAGACTGGTGGCTCAATCGGGCGCAGCGGCAGGCTGATGCCTCTCGGACAAGCCGAAGGAGGCGCGAAGACCTCGGTGGAGCCCCAGGAGAATGGGGGCTGGGGCGGGGGCGGGGGCGGGGAGGAGGCTGCCCAAAAGTAGAGGAAGCTCTTTACTGGGGGTTGAGGGAAAGGGGGTGAGGCCAGGCAGAGGAGTGGGCTGTGCCGGGAATGCCGGGGGGCTGGATCTGGCCCCTGGCTGGAGGTCCTGCTCTCTGGGTGTGGTGAACATGGCACAGAGGTGAGATTTGCCATGGGGATCCGTACGCCAAGAACAGCTCTGGCTGTTCCTAGGACTCCAGGAGGGATTCCAGGAGGGAAGCACAGCTAGCATCCTGGTCTCGGGAATGCCCCGGGAGCTCCCAGGCCTGAGCCTTTCGGGGGAGGCAGGTCGTTTGGTGCAGGTTTGCCACTGAGGGTTGCTCAGCCTTCCCCAAGCTGAGGAGCACTGGATGTGTTGGACTACAGCTCCCATCATGGATGGTCACATTGGCTGGGGATGCTTGCAGTTGGAGAACAGATCCAGAGGGCCCCTCGGGGAAGGTTGTATTCCCTGTGCAGCTGAATCCTTACTGGGCATCCACTTAATACTCAGTCTTAGCAGCCAACTTCCTACAAATTTATTATGATTCATGTAATCATTATAACATTTGTATCCTGTCTTATTTTTCTCTTGCAGGGAACCCAAGGCAAGTAACATGACCCTCCTCCACTCCATTTTATCCTCACAAAAACAGCAGCAGCAACAACAGCCCTGTGAGGAAGGTTACCCTGAGCGCCAAGGACTGGCTCTGTCATTCAGTGAACGTCATGAACTTCCGGCCTCCACCATCACAGCGCGTGGGCGACCTCGGATCACGCTATTTGACGCAGAATATTACTGGGAACTAATATGGAACAATTACAGCTCCAGTATCTTTCATAATTAATCAGTGACATCAACCCAGTTTCTAATTTCAGTAGGCTAAAAAGGTGCCCCAATCAACTGTGTGGCAGAGCATGTGTGTTCTCGGAATTGTTTAATTTTTTAAAGCACAAATGCTTAAAACAGTGCACACCCATTGTGCTGGAAGCAAAGGCTTCTGCTGATCCTCTCTCCTTTCCGCTTTTTTCTTGGGAGAGAATGCATTTGTGCCTCGTCTGAAAACCAAGCGAATTATGTTCTTGGCGCAGAAATATCATTTACCTTTAAGCAAATATATACACGTTTAATCAACTGATTAAGTTAATAAGGGCTATAGGGCAGTGTCTCGTTCCAGCTCCAACCTCGGCAAAGCTTTCTACTGTCAGAAGCGCCCCCAGTGGCCGCCTCGCAGCCTGCCCAGCTCCCTCAGTGCTCCCGTGACTCCAAGACCCATCTTGGAGCCAGGGCTGAAGGAGGAGGTAAGAAGCGAAGCAGCACCATCCCGTGAAGACTCCTGGAGGGTCTTTCGCTCCTCTGCTCACAAGCTGATGTTAAATATTCAGGGGGCAACCCTTTCGAAGTGTAGACCGAAAAATGGCCTACAGAAATCCCTGGGTGGGGCATGCTGGGAGTCGTAGTCCTCCTTTCTGCCTAAACATCCACAGACTTGCGCCTCAAGTTGGTTGGGACCCAAAATCTGTAGCAACGCCTAATGCCTGTTCTTCACGATCGTCTGCCAAGGCTTTTCTCCACGTGACTCACGCTGGCTGAGGCAGACTGGGGGTCGCAGGGCACCTCTTCTGCCTCATCTTGCAAACGCATGCCCTAAATTTGGTTGTGTGAATGCCCCAAGACGCTGAGTTATCACAATCATAGGCAGCCTCCCAGGAGGCACTACAGGAAACCTCTACCAACGCCGTAGGTAGCGCTCCAACCTCGGAAGGTTTTCCCAACGCAGGAACTTCTCTGGTGGGAACCTTCCCTGAAGTTGGAACCTGAACCCTGCACATTGCTTAACAGTTTTCTTACTGGAGTTTTAAGATCTTGCCATTAACCGCTTGGACTGCGCGGCTGAGGACGAGCACCCGAGTCTGAGCAAAGGTGTGCAGAGATGGGCGAATGACGGAACGAGTCGCACCCAGGAGGGGCAGCGTCCAGTCTTCCCACCCCAGTGCGCTTGTGCTCATCTCGTTGCAGCTGCAGGACCCACAACTAGCACAGTGGGGAGTTAGGGCTGCCGAAAGCATGGCCTGGAAATGATCGGAAACGCATGTTCCCAGGTGGGGCCAAGTCAGGAACACCTTTCCGTGTTGGCTCTGCTGACCGGCACCGTTCCAGACAGGTGCATTTCCGCTCGCTTGTGGATGCTTCCCGAAGTGCATGGTGGCATCCCACTGGTTGAATCTGCTGCAGTGACGCCATTCCAGGAATGGGTTTGGAGCTGAAAAGCTTCTCTTCAGGGACATATTCCATCCTTAGCCTATATGCTGGTGAAAGCAACGCTGCAGGAGTTGTCATCGTTTCGTTTAGTTTGGTTTTTTGGTGGGTTCAGTGTTAGGGTTGGAAGTCCTGGATCTCAGCACTTAAGCTAATATGCAGAAAATATATATTTAATTTTCCATGCCTTAGATCTTAAAAAAGAAGCATCTCAGCTCAGGACACCATCATCTGAGAAGGACTGAAAGAAACAAACACAATTTTGGGGAAAAGTCCTGTCCTTTTTTTTAAGGATGCTTACAAGGGAATGAGTGAAAAGGGCAAATAATGAGATTTCAGCTTTGATCCAGGATTTCAGGTGGAATGTCCTCATCCCAGCCACTTTCCAACCTCCATGTTCTCTTTTTTCCAGAATGGGTTTCCTGTAATTCTCATAAAACTTTGCTACCTGCGTAAAGAACAGACCTTTTCTGATCTCTTTATGCTCAGCTGAGAGTCCTTTGCACAATCCAATCACTGGCAGAATCAAGAATTTTTCCTCCCCCGCCCACCCACCCCAGACTCAAATAGGATTAGAAACTTAATCGCCCCAAGTGAAGTAAGGCAAACTTACTGGCTGCTTCCCTTTCACAGGAACACATTTTTAAAAGAAAGTGGGGGAAAGGAAAAGAGCAAGAAACAAAAATTCACACGGGCTCAGTTTGTCTAATAACCTTTACTTTAAAAATGTAATCACTGGCTAAAGTCCTTCATTTACAAATGCATTTGAAAGGTGGGCTCTACTAGAGACACTCAACACTTTCTGCATTATTTTGCAATGCAGAAACGGGGACCTAGCGCAAATCGGAGCTGCCATTGAACGGGCTGGTAGTCCCATTTGGGACCACGCCACTTCGGAAGTCACCTGGAATTTCCCTCCCAAATAACCAACAACCTGCGCTATGCAACCCAGCCCAGCATTTCTGGAAGAAAGGCTCTGTGTACCTGGCCCTTGATATTTCCCAGGCACCTTATTTGGGGGAGCAATCAGAATCACCCTCCCGCACCCCATCCGTAGACCAAAGCCGCATAACTCTACCAGCCGGAGCCTGGCAGCAGCAGCGGCACCGCCTGTTTCCAGAGCTCAGCGACAAGCAGTTCTTGCACGGCCAGAATGGTGTTGCCCCTCAGAGGCAACGCAGCGGAAGGCTTGCGAACACCTCCAGGTCTGCAGAACTACACAAATCTTTGGGGGTGGGGGGATTGCAAAGCATTGCAAAGAGAACGGAGTGCATTCAGTGTATACAGGTAGCTGACGGGCTGTTGGGAGGAAAACAACATTGGGTGGGGGTTAGGGGGTAAGACTAGATGGCCCGGAGGCCCCCTCTGACTCGCTCTGTTTCTACTATTGCCCTCTCCAAGGAATCTGGCCTTCTTGTAATGCATCTGAAGGATGGCAGCTTCGGTTTCCTCATTTCTTCCTTTCAGGGCAAGTTCTGGCTTGATATGACCCACTTGTTCATCTCTCTGTCTCTCCAGGATGTCTCTCCAACACCATGTTTTTGACCAAGACAGGTATTACTACCACTCTGTATGACTCTGGTGCTCCTGCAACTGGAGTCTTGTGTCCACTTCTGGGCTCCAAATTACAGGAAGGATATAGCCAGGTTGGAGTCAGTGCAGCGTAGGGCCACAAGGTTGGTGGCCGGTTTGCAGGGGATGCCGTATGAGGTGAGACTAAGGGAACTGGGTCTCTTCAGCCTGGAGAAGAGGAGACTCCGAGGGGATCTGTTGGTGACATGCAGGTACATGAGGGGATGTCACACGGAGGTGGGGAGAGACCTGGTCTCCCCTGCAGAGGAAGGCAGGATGCGCTCCAACGGAGCAAAGCTCAGGGAGCCAAGGTTCAGTTTGGATGCCAGGAAGCACTTCCTGACAGTCAGGACCCCGAGGGTGTGGAATGGGCTTCCATGGGAGGTGGTTGAGGCCCCATCGGTGCGGGTGTTCAAGGATAGGCTGGACATGCACATGGTGGGCATGTCGTGAGCGGAGCCAGCTGGAGCCGGGGGTCAGACTAGATGGCCTGGGAGGCCCCTTCTGACTTGCTCAGTTTCTATATTTTGAATGCATCTGTTTTTCTCACTGCTTTCTTCACTGCCCAGACATTGTGACTGGGAGTACAAGAGTGTGGCTGATACTGGCCTTCCTCTCTTGAGAAAGATGACTCTTTCTCGGTCCTCCATCGCTGCCCTTCCCAGTGCCAACCGTCCATTCCTTTGAATGTCTGGCTGAGGCAAGGTATGCAAAATCTTTCACCATTAAAACAGCATAAAACAATACCCAATGCAACAATCCACAATGTATTATTTTATACCATTTTAATGTTGTTAATTGTATTATATATAGATTTATGTAAACTACTGGACAGCCTCCAAAGCCCAGAGGAACAGAAGTAGCTAAAACAAACAAAACACAGTTCAGCAAAATACATTCAGTATTTACAGTTGTCTGTGAAACCTGCTTGGGGAAAGCTGCTCCATTTTCCTAGCATCCCTTCCAACACTCCCTTGCTGCTGGCCTATGGGCACCGCCGACACTTCCCACACCTGCGGGACATGCACTTTGGTTCCACCTCTCCCTGCACCGACTCTGAGGACCCCAACCCCAATTATCCCCCTCCCCACATCCTTCGCCAGAGCTGGCCTGGCTGCAGACAGCAGCTGCTGAGGAGCTGGGCAGGGGGAGGCCCTGCACCCCTCCTGCCAGAGGGATCCGGTGGGCAGCTGGTTGGCCACCATGCGTACGGGGTGCTGCACTGGATGGACCTTGGCTATGTTCTTACATGTCCACCTTTGGGCTGCACAGCTAAATGCAGCTCGAAAAGCATTTGGATTAGACGTCACAATCGCATTCTGGGTTGAGTGTTCTCGTCTCTAAGTACATTCAAGGAGAGAAGGGACCTCAACTTGGGAGCAGAAGCCAGCCATGACCAGAATGCAGAGTCTAAAAATGTTGCTGATAAACTAAGTAAGTGGAAAGCTATAACCCAATTCCGCCCGCCACCCCGTTTTGCATATTTCGGATGGGGCCGCGCATCCTCCCCATGCCCGATTCCCTTGATCTGCCTTGCCTGGCTCCTTGGTCGGGTTTTTGTTTTTTGAGGTTGGTGCAGCTGTTCAGAATTTCAGCCTAAATATTCTTCCGGGCTGTATCCTTCGCCATTTCCAGGAGATAATAAGTAGCTTCAGAGGATGAAATGCACATTCCTGATGTTCCGAAATAGCAGTTGGCAGAAAGAGTGAGCGAGACGAATCCGCCTGGAAGGCACTGCGCACGGCCCTTATTCCTGAAGGGAACCGCTGCATCTTCTCACAACTCTTGCCCCCACAAGATTTTGGCCCATCCGGTCTGCGATTCGGATCAGAAGATCCCCCATGGATCTGTCGAGTGATGGGTGCTCCTTTTAGGGACGCCGCCAAGGCTTTGGGCCGCTCGCGATGACTCCGGCTCTGGCGCATGTGAGCAGGGCCTCTTTCAATGCTCCGTGGCCAAAGTTACCACTTTCCATGAGCCAAGCCACAAACCACCCAAGGGACTGACATCTGCCTCCAACTGTTCGTGGTCTCCTGCGAACCCACCAGAGTGGAAGGAGGCAGAGGGGCGGCACGACAGGCACAAGATCCCGTTCAGAGATGGGTGGCTGACCTGCTTGTGGCTGCCCATTTAAATATTTAAGGCCAGGAGCAGGAGGGATCACGGGGGGCGGCGGGGAGATCCAGTCAGGGCCGGATGGTGCTTTTCACGCTGCAGACGGTGCTCCGTACATCCCATTTGGAAGCAGCAGGGAATGAACGCAGCTCCAAAGTGCTGAGTCTTGGTGTTCAGATGACCTCCAT